TTCGGTTATTTTTACAGTCGACGATATTTAGCGGAATTATCACATTTTTTACCCAATTTTTTCCCTAATTTTTTTTCTATTTTTTGTCAACAGCACTTTATAGTATTTATGCCCAGCGAGCGACCACCATTAAATTATTATTACACCGTTGCGATACGCCACGGTCGGCGGCCATACTTGCAGTGGTATATTAGGTATAACTATATAGGTATTTACCGACTTTCCGACAGGTCACATCGTACACCGCGACGGCCTATTCGGCGACGGTGCCAAATACTCAACATGTACACACGTGCTTCAGTCTCGTGTTTTTTTCCTTTTATACGTCCTTAAAATTCTACGACGTGCGTCGTTATGAGTTTCAGTAATGTAAAATTATAATTATAGTATCAGCTAACGTTTAAATATAACCTCTGAATGTTTTATTTAAATTTAAAATTGCCTGGTAATTATTATTCTTCAGAAAAAATGGGTCTATACTGATGTATTATTTTACACTTACAAGTCTGACCAATTATAAGTAGGTATACCAGCAATTTGATGCTCATGGCAACGCTTGTCATAATTTATACGAATGATTTACATATATAAATACTATTTTGTGTAAAATATACTTAATACATTATACATTATAGTATATACATGCAACATTGTAGAAAGAAACGATTTTTAAACCCTAGCTTAGCAAAATCACGGTGGAAGCCATTCATGATTAATAATAGATATTATACATGTGTCAGTCCTGCAGCATACATAGGTATTCTCAAAATTCTATTAGCAATAAACGTGGACCTATGAACGATTACGTAATTTGAGGAATCGAAAAAAAGCCCTTATGTATACCTATACCTATTTCATATATCAATTTCAAAAAACTTACTTTTATTCAATACCTAACCTTGAAATGTCTATAGTTTTATTTTATTTTTTTTTTTTTTTGTTCCAGTTAAGTTATATGTTTTAATGTTTTTTTTTTACTCATATTTTTACTATGCATGTCTAACTTTCAATGATAAACTGACAAAAATTAAGAGTTAAAAACCAAACATAAAGAGTTTCTAATTTTTGCTATAGAACATTATTGAATAAAAATACATTTTTCACACTTATTTAATGGATTTTTCTTTTAATCCCTTAAAATATGTAATTTCAGAGATCACCGTGCTAATAAAACATTATATGTATATTTTTAATATAAACTATAAAGATTTCTAACTCGAATGAAGATACCATGTGTAGGTACGTTAATACATTAACGATGATTAAGAGGAAGTCGGTGAAACATATTCAGTTAAATCCGTCTGATACATACAAAGTATAACATAACCGCTCGTTATCGTATTCTCATTTTGTAGCAAAAACGTTCAAATTAGACAACATTACCTATTACAAAATTAATTAAGGAGGTGTAAGGTTTAGCTTAAGCTTAAAATAATATGTTGTTAACGTAATGGCAATAATTCGTACCTACCTATAATTATGGTTTGACATTTTTTTTTTAAATTGTTTCCTCGTATAAAGGTTTGGATATTAATACTTATACATGTTATAAAGTATAATTATATGTTATGTAACGTATTGTATTATCCATGTTTAATTTACTATTAAGCTGGGCGTATTTATTATAGAAGAAGAAAAACATTTGAATAGCATTTTGAATAAAATATAGTAATGCGTCTGCAGTATTCCTCTTATATTCTTATTTTTTACGTGTACCAATTCAAATGTTTATGAAAAATATGCTTTATACCGCTCATTATCATATAATTTTTTAAGCCTCCTCATCCTTTTATGTGTAACTGATCGATAAATGTATGTGATAAATGTACCTTTGTGCTTAATAAATAAGGATTTCTTTTCTGGCGTATAATTTATTAATTTATAAGAGTTTCTTCGCAGTTATATAATATACATATAAAAACTATATATGTACACATAAGAATCTGGTTAACAGTTGACAGTTAGGGACTTAGGATAGGCTGGTATCAATCTGACGGTGTAATGCTTCACTCATCGCATTTATATGATGTGATGATAATGATGATGATTAACATTTTTGAGTATTTAAATAATAAAGCAAGTATGTTTTTGTGTGTTTTCAGCGTTTGCTTTTCCAAGTATTAGAGCTGGATACTCTGCTGTGATACCTAGCCAATTTGGGTAAGTTAATTTAATTTTATATATGCTCTTGCACAAGTTATTTATTTATTTTATTTTTATGCCAATATAAAAGTCTAAAAAAATTTAACGTACCTATCTTATATATTTATGTAGCATTCATAAAGGGTTCTTAGATGATAAATGCATAACAGCGAGGAATGTTGGTCTACGAAAATAAGAATATTATGTTATATCATTACAGTAATAATAGAACAAAAAATAGTGATGAGATTAATGAATACTTTTAAAATAATCAGTGTTCTTAATAGCAATCATATAAATCTGACGTTGGCCTGATCCCAATCAAACGTTACTTTCATAATTAGTCAAAGAAATAATATTTGGCCCAAATTCAATTTTTTATGCAATGATGATGTTTACGGGCATGTAATGTAATATGTTTTTGGTCGAGTTTTATATTTTATTTTTTATAATCGATTAACGATAAATATTATACTTGATACCTAACGTTCCTATTTTATTATACCTATATAATTTTTTTAAATAACGTTGTTCTATCAGGTATCCTATAATAATATAGGCTTTATTTTAACACCATTTAAAAATACGATTGGTCAGACGTTATTATTTACAGGCTCCGTTATGGGTTTGTGGAACCTGATTAGGAGTAGCTGATGTTCTCTGCGGATGAAACGAAATGAGAAACCAGTATATACAATATATATTCAAGTAAATCATATTAAAAAAAGTTTCCGAGTTTGGAGGTTTTTAGTGAGGCTTGAGTGGTTTGCAATTCTAAAAAAAAAAATAATAATAATAATAATAATAATAAAACCAAACGTTTCAATCATTAAGTAATTTTTGTTTTATT